TGAACGACGCCTCAGATATCATTTTTTCTTCCACAATATGAGTAAGAAAATAGAAGAATTCGTCAAATCATGCAACCACTGCAGTATGTTCATCGACAAAAAGACAAAAGAACCCATCAAACCACACTGGGTTGCTGAGAAATGCTGGGATACTGTATCAGTCGACCTATTTGGCCCGATGCCAACATCTAAACACGTGGTCGTCGTACAAGACTTAGCATCACGATTTCCAGCAGCGAAACTGGTTACATCGACAAAGGCAGACAAAGTTTTACCAGCTCTCAGCGAAATTTATGCAATGTACGGAAACCCCGAGGTCCAAATTTCCGATAACGGGCCTCCCTTCAACAGTGCTCAGATGCACGACTTCGCAACGAGCAAGTCCATCAAATTACAGAAGGCTCCACCACTTCACCCATCCTCCAATCCAGTCGAAACGTTTATGCGTCCTTTGGGAAAGGCCATGAAAATTGCATATCAAACCAGGGCTCCTGAAAAAGAAACATTGGAGAGAACACTAAACAACTATAGACATACACCTCACCCAGCAACAGGTATCCCTCCAGCAGCCATGATGTTCCGAGATGGACAGCGCTACGACTTTCCGAGAACATACGCAACCGAAGAAGACGTAAGAAGAGCTCGGGAAGCAGAGAAACAAAAGAAAATTGATAACGAAGAAAAAATAAACTCTTCTAAATACAGGAAGAAATCAAATTTCAACATTGGTGACAAGGTTCGTGTTAGAAATTACCAAAACTCAATCATCGACATCAATGACGAAGGAAACAAACTCATTGTCGAACATCAAGAAAACGGGTTTTCATTGTGCCGTCACCCAGATGACGTCAAACCATTTATAGAACCAAACTATATCGAAGTCGAAGATGTTCAGTGGCCAGTAGGAGATGAAGGAGACGTGGCGGAAGATCTCGGGATTGAGAAAAGCGGAGAAACTGCACCAACACTGAGACGTAGCGAGCGGAAAAAGACCCCCAATCCAAGATACATTTAGATACGTATCATGAAACTATTCATGAAAACTGATATAAACATGGGGATGATGAACCGATATACTTTATTATTATTATTTATATTAGGTTGAACAGTTTAAGTTAGGATTAATAAGGACACTTAGGATTAGTCACGGACAGTAGATACATTGAGGGATACTGTGGGATAAAGTAGGATATGGGAGAAGACAAGATGGCGGCGTAAACAAAATGTAAGCTATTTCGAAAAGACAAAATTATAACGTTTAAAGACTAAAATATATTTAGAACGAAAAACTTTTTTATAGCAAATATTTGCTCTGTCCAGGTTACCGATGATGTATTTGCATTTTTTCAAACCCAGAGATTCTTTTATCTTCTCAATATCAGTTGAACTGGCTGTTGCAGTCATTGCAACAACTGGGATGTCAGGAAAGAATGCACACAGTATACCCAGTTTTCCATAATCCTTCCTAAATTCACTGCCCCTGAAAAAAGGTAAACAGAAAAAATGAAGAAGTTTATAATATTTTTTTGTATTTTTAACCCATCAAGTGGCGGCACTCTCCCCCTGACAAGGGTATGGCATTAGACATATAGTAAAATAGTCTGGCATTAGACAGAGTAAAAAATAAAGTAATTGCCACTTAAAGAGTTAATGATAGTTTTAATTTATATAGCAATTGGTCAGGGTTTCAAAAAGCATACTAAATATATAAGTCTACTGACTGCAGATGTTTCTGTTTGTTAATTAATGAATAGAGAGGGGCTTGATACAGTAAGTCCCCTCTGGAAATGCTTATTTGAGAGGATATACAGGTATGTAAACAAAAACACTTGTTTTTGTATGAGGTCAGTTACATTTGAACCTGTGTGTTGGTGCTGTGTACTCAGGCAAATAAGATGTTTGTGATGTTACTCTGAGTGTGTATCCACACCGGGCAAGCTTGATAAATATGCCTGGCCACATTTTAACTCCTAAGAAAAGATAAAAGTACCAACACAAAACAACCATCAGAAATTTGTAAATTTTCCATTACCCCTCAGAAAAATTGTAACTCCTCGGAAACAACTATATGGGGTAACCCTTCAAAAAAATCGGCCATACATAGGGGGTATGTGGACATTAAATAGAATGGCTATTATGGCCTCGTGTAATATGCAATTCGACATATTCTGCATATAAAAAATATTGCATGGTACAACCATATTAATCAACACTGAGGGAACAGTAGGACTTACCAATCCAATATGCAGTGAGCCTCGTCAACAACAATGGAAACAACACGTTCTTTGTATGTGTGACTTAGCATCAAGTCACGTCCAAATTTGGTTGATATGATCGACTCCGGGTGGGCAAACACGATATGATATTGTCCTTTGACAAGTTGATCTTTCTTACAAAGCCTGAGGGTCACAATCGTATGGAGTACTGTCCAGGTTTACATCTTGTATCAATGAATTCAAGCGAGACACAACAATAACAACTGACGAAACGTCCTGAGTAGATATCCCAAATGATATTGATTTCCATAGAGAACGAAAGTCAGTCTACTTATAAATATGATCCCTTGCAAACATCAACAATGGGGTCAGATGGAAAATCAGAGACTTTCCATAACCCGTTGGCAGGATACAAATAACATCTTTTCTCAAATAAATGCTTTCCAAACAAAGAACTTGCTTTGGCTTCAGTATCTTGTTATGATACGCACTATTTAGAACAGCGAATTCCAAACAAGCAAGAAATTCCAAACAAGCAAGAAATGCAATAAACTCGAACATATCCGTTCGTTTAATAATTTGAAATTTTCAACTTTGCTTGTATGTCCTGGCAACATGTGAATGACAAAAAGATAACACAAACGCGCGCAAAATTGGCAATTTGACACGAATTCTTCAATACAATGGTAAATTGTGATATGAAGTACGCTCATATTACACTTTCCAATACTGTCCATTGCTGTCCGCTCCTTGCCAACAAATTTTACTATTGGAAAGTGGAAGCATTGTAATTTGAGATTTGTCCATCCCTCCCTTGGTAATTTAATATCCTGGGAGCCACTTGACCAGCCGGCACCAGGGTCTTTCCGCAGCTTGGGGCGTGCGAAGGTAAGAGCCTGGGAACGAAGTTGCTATGGATCCAGAAGACAGAGAAAAGACGGCATTCAGCATTGGCGGGGGTTTATGGCATTTTCAGGTAATGCCATTTTGTTTGTGCAATGCTCCCCCCACTTTGGAGCGATTGATGGATTATGTACTTGCCGGATTACCCTGGAACGTTTGTCTTGTATATCTTGATGATATAATCGTTCATGGCAGAACCTTCTCTGAGCAGCTTCTCTAAGTACATGTTTGAGGAAAGCTAATCTGAAACTTTCTTCAGAGAAATGTAATCTGTTTCGCCTTGGGACATATCATCAGTTGTAAGGGCGTGGCAACAGATCCCGCAAAGATCAACAGTGTTAAGGACTGTTAAGTGCTGAAATGAGAAGTTTCTTGGGATTGTGTTCCTAATACTGAAAGTTTATTCGAAATTTCACTGAGATTGCAAATCTACTCACTCGCCTAACAGTATGATCTAAAGATTGAACATCGACCCAGAAAATATCTTCTCAATGCCAACACATTGTCGCAACGACCATGTATTGGGGAACATTGCAAAAGTTGTGATAGGGCTGAAACAAAAGAACGTACAACAAGCGAAGTTCAGTGTGAACACGAGAACCATAGATTGACTTTGATAGCCAACCGAGTTAGAAGGCAATCGCCTGCTGAGGATACAGATGTTGATGATTTGGAAGACGAGAGTTTTATTGAAAATGTGGGCCTGCAAGACATAGTGAAAGCTCAATGGATTCAGACATAGGACATGTAATTAAGTGGATGAAAAGTGGTAATGAAAGACCACAGTGGTTCCAAGTGTCAGCTCTTAGCGAGGTGACAAAGCATGGCTGGGCACAATGGGACAGTTTGTGTATACGAAATGATATTGGGTGTCGAAAGTGGGAATCATTTGGACGGTAAGACAACATGACTTCAGCTTGTGTTACTGAAAGCTTTACGAGAGGAAGTTGTAATACATTTTCACAATCACCTGACCATAGGACATTTTGGAGTAAAAAAAACCACTGGAAAGAGTAAAGGAGAAATTCTAGTGGCCTCGTTGTCACAAAGATGTGACACTGTGGTGTTCTACTTGTTTGTGTCCAGTGACATGACAGACAGCTCGTCTAGGAAAGTATGTTGTTGGCACGCCATTGGAGAGGGTTGCAATTGATGTAATGGGTACTCTGGTTCGATCTACAAAAGCTAATCGCTACTTGCTAGTGGTCACAGATTATTTTACCAAGTGGCTAAAAGCATATGCTTTGCCAAATCAAGAGGCAAAAACAGTTGCTACGGTTATAGTAAATGAGGTTGTATGCCGATTTGGAGTTCCTCTCGAACTGCACTCTGATCAGGGAACAAATTTTGAGTCAGTTGTGTTTCAAGAAATGTTTTCGTTACTTAGCATTAAGAAAACTCAAACTACACCTCTGCATCCGGAATCAGACGGAATGGTTGAGCGACCCCGATCTGGAAGTTGTTGAGAGTTACTCTATCTACGTTCGAGAACTGCAAGAAAATTTGCAAGTGACACATGAGTTCGTGTGAAAATATATTGAACAAATGTTATGACGTAGACAGTTCAGCATGTATATTTAACGAAGGTGATCAAGCTTGGTTGTATAATCCCCGCAATAAGAAAGGAAGAAGCGTAAAGTTAATGCCACCTTGGGAAGGATGAAAAGGACTGCACGTTGTCATTAAACAGTTGAACAATCTTGTTTATAGAATTCAGTGAGGCAGGAATGGAAACTAAGGGTGGTTCATCAGAATCGTCTATGGACGTATCACAGTGATCTGTCAGAACTGTGGAATTTGGAGACGGACAGTTAGAAAGTGCATGCACCATCATTGGGACAATTCGATGGTTTAGTTGGGGAAGATGTTGTGAATATGATGGCATGGTTGACTGGCTTTGTTATTTGTAATTTGTATTGTGTAATTGTTTTGTGTTTGCGAATGTATTGTTCTGTACTGTGTAGGCATAATGCAAATCAGGCCAGAGTCTAGTAAACAAATGTAGATATATTTTGTTATGTGATATTTTGAAGAATTATACGTCTTTTTGAGACGACTGTCTTCGATTGATTGATAAAATATTGTGGCGGAACACAACAAAACATTTTCAAAGCATTTACGAAAATGCTCCGGGATATGGTGATTTTGTAATGCAGTAGAGATTAATCGATGGTGAACCTCACCAAAAGCATTTTTTAAATCCAACTGAAAATTTCATGTCTGTCTTGCATAATACGATGTACAAGTTCCTGTTAATAATTTTATTGAAGCAGCATTCAAAAAGGTTTGGATTTCTAATCAAGCAAGCCAAAGGATTTCTAATCAAGCAAGCCAAAAAACAACTTTCTCTAACAGTAATTTTGTGGAACTGGCTGCAAAGTAATCAGTCTAAAGTTTTTAGGCTCATCGGGAATCTTTTTTGTGAATCGAAATAGTACTTTGAATTATAGCAGTTAAGTACAATCTGAGGTATGCAGTTTTTTTAGCGGAATAATAGAAAATTGGTCCAACGGCAAGCTGAGCCATTAGATTTCATTCTTCTAATAATTGAAGTTATTGTTGCATGAGTAGGAGGATGTGGATCATCAAAATTAGAGTTTTCATCCTTAGTTTTCTGAGCTATGAAACCCTTTAATGCTATCTTGGTGAGCTCACATAACCCAGGATCATTATTAAGTTTTGCAGTACCATGACAGTTATTACTACTGCTACCTTGGTATTCAAATCTATGCCAGTACCATTTAGCATCAAGGGTATCATAGAACCTGTATTTCACAAAATTCTCTTATCTTTGTGTAAAAAGCCAATTAACAACTAGTATTCCAAATGTTGTAGGTTCGACTCCCACTGTGGCCAGGCATATTTTTCAAGCCGGTGCTGATATACATTCAGAGTAACATCACAAGCATCATATTCACCTGAGTACATTGCACCAACACAGAAAAAATCTAGACTAGAAAATACATGCATGCAGAGACCCTCGCCTTGCTGACAAAACCATTTTATTTTCCGAACGTGAAGTATTTTAAGTAGTTGTCATGGTAACACGATAATTTTTTAAGAATATTTTTACAAATGAAAAATCCCCTATAAATATCACTTTTAATTACAAAATTATCAATTTCCTAAACATATATATATGTTAGGTATGTTATTATACGTAATATAAGCTTGAATTTAAGGTAAAATTCAACCACAAACGCTTCGCAAAACGTTTTAAAATGTTCTTTTACTATAGAACTAAACTGCCTTTATCGATAAACTTTGAGTTCGAAATAAAATGATTCCTAATTCTCCCATGCAAATAACTTTGCTTAGTATAATAAAAAGTGTAATCAATAAAGAAACACTGAAATAATACGCTGTCTTGTTTCATATTTATACACAACGATCGGCTTTTAAAGTAATTATAGTAGGTATGTTATTATACGTAATATAAGCTTCAATTTAAGGTAAAATTCAACCACAAACGCTTCGTAAAACGTTTGAAAGTGTTCTTTTAATATAGAACTAAACTTCCTT